TAGTGATATTTTATTTCGCTATCATCAGAAACATCTATAAGTGGTTCGCAATCAGATTGCTTGGGAAAATACATATTTTGAATTAAAAGCAAATTGATATGCTGCACGTTGGTACATTTGGCGTTTTCAACTTAAAAAATATATAATCTTCCAAAATTTTTTTTTTAAATAGTGATAATATTAGCTTTACTTTGCAAGAAAAATTAAAATCGCGTATGTAGCCGTTGTGAAGATATACACTTAAATGTATTTTTTATAAATTAATTTGCAATAGTAAGCTTAGTCTCTATCGCCTCTTGTGTTGAGGTTTTTTGGACATTTTTCTATTTCAATGGCTTCACTGATGGTACGTTTGGTTCTGTATTCGATGCTAGCCAAGACCCTTGTTTTTTTAAAGTCAATTTTCCAATATAGCCAGCAATAGCCAACTTATTTGTGGAAGACATAGTAGTATGAGCAATTGAAACGGCAACACTAAAATCAAAGTTATGGCTACGATACGTAGAAGACACATTTGTCATCTGGACCCACGGAGAAGAGGAACTGAAGAAATTCCTGGACCATCTCAACAGAATTCCAAAATGGTTAAGTTCACAATGGAAACCGAGTAAAAACACCAATTACATTTTCTGGATGTCTTCATAATCAAGAAAAATAATGGCAAACTTGGGCAGAAGCACAGTCACACCACCACCCGTCACAACTGCAGTCAGTCATTAAGACACTTGTCACGAGATCCGAAAGGCTGGCGGATGATGACCACAAGAAACAAGAAGACCTGAAAATCCAAACGAGGCTACAGCAAAACGTATTCTCCAAAAACCATCATCAAAAAGGCTCTTAGACCACGACGCCGGTTAAATACCAAAGAGGACTAATACAACAAACCAACTTCGTAGACCTTCCTTCCCTACGTGAAAGGGACAACCGAGAGAGTAGGCAAAGTTCTCAAAAAACATAACATTGAGACATTTACCGCCCCAAAAAAGATCGGTCAAATACCAAACGCCAAACCAAAAATAGAGTTGGAGGCACAAGGGGTGTACGAAATTCCTTGTAAGAATTGTGACGGAAGCTACGTGGGACAGACCAATAGACGTATCAACGTTAAACTCGAAGAACATCGTAACGCAGTCTTGGCTAGCATCGAACACAGGGCCAAGAAACCTCAACACAAGAGACGATACACAGAGACTACCAACTGCATAAAAACCAGCTCTCACAACCACTAAAAGCCACGCAAATTAACGAGATTAATGTTCTGCTTTAGGTTTTCACGGGCGTTATATGTATTGATGGTTTTCCGGGATCTGCTCTGTGTTGTCGGTTTTTGTTTCTTAAAAGAACCGTATATCTGATGACGTTTCGGTACAATTTCATGTACCCTAGGTCTTATCTACTAGGCTGCTGTTGCGGCTCTGCTGCTTTAGGTTTCCACTGGCGTTATATGTATGAATTCGCAGCAGAGCAGCAACAGCAGCCCAGCACATAAGACCTGAAGATGGTACATAAGACCATCAACCATCAATATTTATATATAGGTATAGATATATATTTATATATAGATATATATATTTATATATATATATATATATATATATATATTTATATATATATACATATATAGCGAATTGCTGTGGTATTTTTTACTAGAACACATGTTAAGCTTACTGTTGCGCATTAATTTATAAAAAAAATACATTTAAGTGTGTATCTCCACAACGGCTACATACGCGATTATAATTTTTCTTGCAAAGTAAAGCTAATAATATCACTATTTAAAAAAAAATGTTTGGAACATTATATATTTTTTAAGTTGAAAACGGCAAATGTACCAACGTGTGCTAACATATGTCTAATAAAAATAAAATAAAATATTGAGTTAATTTTATACGGATAATACACTGTGAGACAAAGTAACCCGTAACTTTGCACACCCAGATTTTTATTTTTGAAACTCAGCCCTATGTAAGATTATAACATAGTTATTATGAAAGAGCAACTCAAGACTCAAATTTTGGTATACAATATTTAATGTTTTATGATATGAACTAAAAAAATTTTAAGATTAAGTTTGAAAGTGAGCTAAAGCCACCCGTGTTTACGGTACGTTGTTTTAATTTTAAAGTTACCCGGTAAATGTCTATGACTTTATAAGGAGTCATATTTAGGCTTTCATAAACTCACATCCGCAAAGACAAAATCGTAAAATAGGAATGCGTAGTACGGTTACCAAAAAATTAGAAAGTTTTAAAAAATATAAGATATGTGATCTTAAAGAAAATTGTCAGTGACGCAGTGAGCCTTGAGCCGAGCGGTTGAGTTAGGGTCTCGATATGTCCTCGTACTTACAGTGCCATCTCCGCTAAGGTTCAAATAACAAAAAAAAATCAATATCGATTCTACACGTGATAACACATCGGCCATTCTAAAGTAACGGAGAGGACAAGTTGTCACTTAAATGATACTAATCTCATAGCAAGAAATAGAATATTCCTCTAATACATAGTAGTTTTTTTTAGAGTCAAAGTTGAAGTACTTACCATAAATGTTTTATTGAAAAAAAATTCCTGGTTAAGTTAGACAAAATCAAAGATGGTAACGGAAAGGACGCGTACGATTAGAAAAATCTTGATTTACAATTTCAAATATAAAATTCTGCTCGGGCCAGCAAGTTATATGGTTAAATTTTTTTCTTGAATTTTTATACCTTTGATACTTACAAAAAATATTAAGATTTCGTTCAAAAATAACTTTATAGCGAAAGAAAAAAATTAGTACAAGTAACGGAGAGGACAGTCAATGGTAACAGAGAGGACACATACGATAGCCCTTTAATTTTTTTTGTGTTCTATGAAAGATTTTTCCAATAAATGCTTAAAAAATAAAAAAAGTAAATTTAAATCAGTAAAAACCTCAAATATTTATATTAAAGTATGATATCGAATATCAAAATATATATTTTTACAAGAAATTATGTATTAAATTTTAATGATGTTGCAACTTTATATCGTTACTATTTTTTTTTGTTAATATTTTTATTTTTTATTAGGTTTATTATAATAATGTCAATATTAAAGAGTTAAATAACATTAAACATTAAATGTGATAATCATGTCTTAGTTTTAAACAATACAGAACTTGAACAAGTACAAAACGCAAAGTATTTAGGCTTAACTCTAGACAGCCTCTTAAATTTTAGTGACCATGTCAACAAACTTAAAACCAGAATATCAACAATATGTCATTATCTCCGTAGAACCTCCAAGTTATTAAATAACAAAACAAAACATATGGTATATAATGCGTATACTAACTCTCACTTACTGTATCTACCTGCTTTCTGGGAAAAAAGGACATAAAAACCCTTCAAACTACACAAAATAAAATTCTAAAACTTCTATTTAACAAATCACCCAGAACATGTACAAAAGAGCTTTATAATGAACTACAAATTTTAAACGTAAGTGAATTAATTAAAATGGACAGTGTCAAAATAATATACAGGGTGTTTCATAATATATGCGCAGGACTTCAGGATCTAATAGCTCAAACAAAAAGATGAAAAAAGTCGCTATTAACTTACCCTCTAAAATGCACAATTTTCGAGATACAGGGTGTTGAAATTTTAGAAAAAAAATCGTTTTTTTCGATTATCTCTGGAACCGTTTATGGTACAAAAAACAGCTTTTGTAAGCATTTTCTACTCATAATAAGGTATGTTTTGTGTCCATGTTTTTAAACATAAAAGTTGATTTTTCTCGAAAACGGTCAAGTTTAGAGCTTATGACCAAGAGTACCTTTTTTGTGTAGAAAACATTGGCGGTTCGAATGGGCCTCTCAAAACCGTACTTTTTTCAGGGGCGTAGAAGTTAAGGAGAAAAACAAACGCTACCCCTTCAAAATCTCCACCAATTATGAGGAAAAAAAATTTTTTCTGGCACAAAACATAGCTTATTTTGAGTAGAAAATGCTTACAAAAGCTGTTTTTTGTACGATAAACGGTTCCGGAGATATTCAAAAAAAAAACGATTTTTTTTCTAAAATTTCAACACCCTGTATCTCGAAAATTGTGCATTTTAGAGCGTAAGTTAATAGCGACTTTTTTCATCTTTTTGGATAAGCTATCACATCCTGAAGTCCTGCGCATATTTTATGAAACACCCTGTATAAAATTAAAAATGGTCTGATTTGTACTGATGTAGAATTAACTAGAAATTGTGATATTCACGAATATTTTACAAGAAATAACTCGCAGTATTATATAGCAAATACAAATACAAGTTTTGGCAAAAGAAGAATAACCCAAACTGCCTTGAATTGGTTTAATGAACTTCCGGAACATATTAAGTTGCAACAAAACCTAAAAGCTTTTTCTTCACATGTTAAGGACTATTATATGAAATTAAGAAAGTGATTTGACTCATGTGTAAAATTATATAAACAGATGTTATACTCATAGTTTTGTTATATTTATATTTCTACTCATATTTTCTGTGATGTTAACTTAGGAATATTTACTCATAAGTTTAGTTTGTTTAAAGTTTTTCTGTGATATATAAGTACCTGAAATGGAATCTTGTATTCTTTTAAGGTTAATAAATAAATAAAAAAAAATAATAAACTTAAACTAAAACAAAAATACCAATTACCAATTTAGATACAAATATATAAATTTAAAATTCCGAATTTTGCTTATCGCATGTACCGTCTTTGGAACTTATCTTAACCATTAATTTGACAATAAAAAAGCATTGTTGTATTTATATAAAAAAAAATGAACAAGGTTTTGACTTACTAAATCAAAAGCATTTTTTTATTTATAAAAATACGGGATACAAAAAAGCATATTTGAAACAATATAAACGACTAATAAATAAAAACATAGGTAACTATATAAATGAATTAAACTTCAGTTAACTTTAAAATTCATTAGAAATGAAGGTAAAGTTTTTAAATCCCGGTCTTTAAAAAGGTTTTAGACACTGCTGATATTGAAATCATTTGCGCATTTTCTTAGACGCGTTGGCACTTTTTAACACCCTGTCATCTCTGGTTGTGTTAATATATTTCTTGTCGCATCTCAAAGAATCACACATCTTTTGCTGATCTGAATCAAATGTTACCACCTTAATCCTGTGCTTCTTCGAATTTGAAGTCTCTTATGCAAATATGTGATTTTTGTCTATTTTGCGAAAAGAGTGGGATGAAGTAAGCCCGAATTTTTTACCCTCGTCGATGCATTCAATTTTTAAACATTTTCTAAAACGCAAATTTAAAATAGATGAATTTGCAGTTATTTCTTTTTTCTCGACAAAAAAAATATTAGTTTTTTGACAGTATTTTAAAGCTGCATAATAGTAATCGCGAGCAGAATGCAAATTAATATTTTCAGACCGCACTTTAGTCCAAATCGCGTTTTTTACGGCCGCGCCAACACCATCAACCGCGCCTTTTCCGTGCAAAGCAGCAAAAGTATTCCATTCAATATAAGAAAACCCTAAATCTTCACAAATTTGAAATTGTAAATTCGTTCCGAAACTGACTTGCGGCGTTGTCTGAAAAAAATCGAAGCCGTGAAACGGAGTGAAATTTGTTTTTAACAAAGGACCCAATTTTATTTTAAATATCCAAAAACTGTATTTAGAATGATTTAAATCATCGCTGATAATTGCAACAGATTCTACGTTATCCATATACCAGATGACACACTTAAAAATAGTCACTTGACGCTTTTTCCAGTGCGCACTTTGGATTTCATTTTGACTTGTCAATGAGGCGTTTTCTGAAAAATCTATTTGCACAACAGCATCTAGACGATTTTGAGCTTCTTTGCAAGATTCAAACTTACTTAGACTGTTGGTTTTTGATAAAACAATGTTTTTTAAAAGAAGTTATTTTTTGGTTGAGTTTATTGTCACAGAGCTAACATCAAAATTAAGGGGTAACAACTCATCTACTTTTGTTTTACAAGCAGAGCAAGCACCAAACATGCATTTTTCGTTAAGCTGATCACAACAGACTAATGACTTTAAGTGTTTATAGTTTGAAGGAAATTCAGTACAAACAGAATGTATAGCTTCAACACAAAAAGAAAAGTTCGAATGTTTTTTACATACACATACATTAAATGGGGTTTGTTTAGCGGGAAGAACAAATTTGGGTCTAAACTTAAAAAAGTAAGCTCTGGAAATTTTTAAACTAGGATGCTGATTCTGAAATTCGCAGAAAGCATCAACGATGTTCATCATCATGTAGCGGATAGGAATTTTTTCTCGTTTACCAGTGACATCATTCCGAATAGATTTAACGTCGCGTTTTCCAGGAGCCTGACGACTGACATTGTCGTTGCAAAAAAAATCTTCAATAAGTTTTCGATTTACATCAATCGGCCGACGAGGCGCTCTTGCTTCACAGATCGAATCTCAAGCTTCAGAATTGAACGTCCTGTTTACAATTTCTTTTACTACGGCCTTTCTTTTAGCAGGGCTCTTTGGTAAAGCAACTTGAACTTTTTGTACAGCTTTACCAAATTTTTTACTACATTTATATGTCCCTCTTTTTCCAACTTTTTCGGAAGAACTTGATTTTGAAGCTTCTTTTTTTCCCTGTAAAAAATACATACATAAAACTCTTTATTTGTTAATTTTTGTGTTATTTTTTGGGGTTATAAATTAACCTTTGCTTTCTTTTTGCAGCCTGTATTTTCTTTTAATTTCCTCTGCCTCTTCCTCTGTCATATTTAACTTTTTCTTTACATAAGATGCTCGTCTTCGATCTCGGTCCACTTTAAGTCGCTCGACGTATTTTTCTGGATTTCCTCGTATTTTTTGTCGGTATTCGGCCATAAGGATACTTTTTGGTTTGGGAACCATTGTTTAACTATAAAATTAAAGTGTCTATATGTTTTGATTTGATTTTGATTTGATATAAAAAGCAATATGGAACCTACATATATCACTATGGTTATAATGTAGTGTATTTTTTTGCCCTCTACGTTACTCTGTTTCTACTATTTTCTATAGTTCAGCCATTCCACGCTACTCGGGAATTTTTGTAGCGTCCGTTACAAAAAAAAAGTGAGTAAAAGCTACCGTAATTAAATTAAATACTATTACAATAGTTACTATTGCAAACATGTTTATTATGCTTGTAATAATTAGGCTTAAGCTTATAAGCATCATAATTACGGTAGTTTACTTTGATTGTAACGGACGCTACAAAAATTCCCGAGTAGCGTGTAATGGCTGAGTTTTGAAAATCCAAAAAAATACCATTATGATAATAATTATTAGTTTAGGTTAGCTTTGTACAAGAAGAATTATTGCCAGGTAAAAATTTGTATTCCCTGTATAAGAACATTTGTTCCTTTTTGATAACGGAGAGGACGTTAAGATTGCAATTTTTTAAATGCTCACAGCAAGTATTAAAAACTTACCTATCAAATAAAACAGTGCAAGGTAAAAACGATTATGCTATACACTAATTTAACTAAAACACTCCTAACACCTATCTGTCACTATTGACAGAAACGGCGTCTGCCAACATACTTGATAATGCGCTATTCAGGATGCTGCATAAAGAGTTATGTTGAATCCTTATAATAAGTATGACAAACTAATAAATCCCGCTTTTTTAAGAGATTTTCTAAACCTAAATGGACACTTTTGAATGATTTCTTTCATTTATTTTTTCTTAATAGTTCGGACTTGACTTGCTTGGTTTCGATTTTTTTAGAATAGCCGAGATCCAAGTGCAAAAAAAAAGGAAATAATAATAAGTTTGGAAAGTGCGGGTGGCCCCCGGTTAATTCACACCGATAAGCTACCTGACCACTCCTGATCACCTGTATAGTCACCACAACCGGCGATTGCCAAGGAACACGGTCGGTCCGCTAGGGATAGGAAAACAGAATCAATCTATCTAGTCCAGCTAAGTAATTTTCCTAATTGCATGACCTAATAACAGTACCAATCTGATTCTAAGATAATTTAATCGTTAAATACTTATATACGCAATTTCGCAATGTTGCCAAAAATGTCATCTGGCTTCAGAAATCAAACAGGTCCCTACACTGAGAAAAGTAAACTATTTCAAGTTTTAATTAACTGAACAGTTTTTGGCACATTCAATACGATCAATGCGCATAATTGTTTATTTAAAAGTCTGGAATGATACCACAGTCTTTAAATTAAACTCGTACAGTTTTGAATATACATTTTTACTACTACAAAAATGTACAAAGATTTCAATAAAGCGGTTCAGACACTAAATTAATAAAAATCTCTAATATAAGCACTCTGATTGTTTGTCTAAGATTTCTTTTTTATTCGTTTCAAAAACTAAATTTAAAAAAATAGAACATTTCCGTAAGTGTTAAACTAACAATCTCATTCCTCAAACAATTCTAAAGAGGTTACCAGGAACCTAAAACTGACTCGGACAGAGACGTTCAGAAATACACCAACAAGGACAGGTTCTAGCAGCGTAATAACACTTCTACCCCCATTCATGAATCCCAATTGAATGGGGATATTACTAGGACCCAGGTTGAGGAGGATTCCGGATTGTACTTAGTTTTGGGTCAGTCCAATGTCCTCCAAAAACCACCACTAGCCTTCCTTATCCCGCACTCCTCTAGCCTAAATTGGACGTATGGCCCGACCCGGCTGACAAAAATCCGGGAGCGGCCTTAACCATAGACACTGTCATCCACGACCTCCTAGGGTGGATCTACCAGCCGCCGTAAAAACTTCGGATCCAACAAACACAGGTAATGCTGCGAATTGGCGGGATACGTAGGAGAACGGAAAGGGGGTAAACTAACCCTGGGAGATTAGTGTAAGATAATGTCGATGGGGCCTGCTCATACTCATATTTGATCTTAAAGAATATACTTGTGTTTATATGTAGAAGTAGCTGTATCTAAAATATAAAAGAAACCCAGATAACATTCGTGAATGCACATTAAACTCACACCGGGCTCACGCCGTGAATCTTCAAAATTGAATGCATCGTGAATTCACCGTGAGTTCACAGATAACATTTGTAATGCACATTTAATTCACATAGGGCGCACGCCGTGAACCTTTAAAAATGAATTCATCGTGAATTCACTGTGAGTTCCCAGATAATATTCTTAATGCACATATAATTCATGCCGGGCGCACGCCCTGAATCTTTAAAAATGAATGCATTGTGAATCCACTGTGAGTTTCCAAATTACATTCCTGAATGCACATTATACTCCTACCGGGCGCACGCCGTGAATCTTCAAAATTGAATGCATCGTGAATCCACTGTGAGTTTCCAAATTACATTCGTAATGCACATTAAATTCACACCGGGCGCACGCCATGAATCTTTAAAATTAAGTGCATCGTGAATTCACCGTAAGTTCACAGATAAGGGGTCATCCATTAATTACGTGAGGCAATTTTGGCGATTTTTCGACTCCCCCCTCCCCTTGGGAAAATGCATTGTTTTAATGTAAATATAACTTATTTATCCTTATCTGTGATTGATTCCATTAGATTTATTAAAAAAAAACAATTGTTATAATTGTTTACTTAATTTAACCCAGTTTTCTCGCCATTTTACACTGTTTCATTTTTTTCAAAAATTACGTGATATTTGCCGAGACCACCCTCCCCCCACGTGAGATTGGGTGGGGTTTGGCTCGACCCCCTCCCCCCCTAAACACCTCACGTAATTAATGGATGCCCCCTAACATTTCTTATGCACATTTAATTCACACCGGACGCACGCCGTGAATACAGATCTGTTAGCACGTTTAATTAAAGATCTTCAAATTTATTTTGATAGGTTAGCTATACCTCTGTTTGATAGGGAAGGTATACCTACCCTATCAAAATAAATTTGAAGACCGAATTCGAAATAAGAAAAAGAAAACATAACATTAAAGGAATATTAATTAAAGATTTTTATTAAATATTAAACGGAAAATAAAAAAGTACATTTTTTAATTAATATTAGTTATTAATATTTAATATACCTATAGGTAATAATAATTATATATAATAATTGCAAAACCAAATACGCGGGCACTCGTGCGCATGCGCCTATGGCCGTCACATTTCAACTAAATGCAGGGTTGCCGCTTGCAGGTATTTGACCCGAAAATCGCGTATTTCATCATGCTTGCAAGTAAAATATTGAAGCAGGTATTTTATAAATTTTACTTTTCAAAGAAAATTTCAGTAAATAATATTGTATAACTACTAACTAAACATAATTCTTTAATTCTATCCTTTTATTTTTCTCTTAATTTATTCAAAATTTAATTCACTTTTCCAAATTGAGCAAATGTACTAGAAATTTTTACTCGTGTGGGTAATTTCTAGTATTTTGTAATTTTTGGTCGGGAACTTTCACGAAAATCATCCGGCTGCAATCCGGCAACACTGCAGCGTTAGTGTGCGTACGCAGCTAAGAGCCACGAGGTTTTCTATAGAATACCATATATGGTAAACATCTAGCTAGATATCCTGTATACCGGTAAAACGTTCAGTTCATATCCTTTTTCTATGGTTCAGAGATAAACGTTCAGTTTCAAGGTGTATGTATCTTGGTTCAGTTTTTCAGTTTTATAATATATAGGTATTCAGTTTAATAAATACTTAAGTTGCTAGCCAGGAATTCCAAAGGTAAGTTTGACATTTTTATATTTTAGCATGATCAAATTTAAGATAAGAATTTTATTGTATATATACTATAGTAGATCAGTGCACTGATAATAATTGTTACAATTATTGCAAAAACAACAAAAACAATGAATAACCATGGTTATAACGCTTTATTGTGGTTATATTTTTTTATAAAGTTTTTATTCATTGTTTTTGTTTTTGAGTCAGATCACGTCAAGTGGACCCCCCATTTTCCACTTGGTAATAGAATTTAAATTTTAATACCTACATCAATCGTTAGTAGTCATTAGTAACAATATTTCCTTAAAATATATTTTTTTTTATTTTAATTTTAACAGTTTTTTTGCAACAAAGATTTTTCTCACTTTTAATTAAAAAATTAATTTTGAAAAAACTGTTAAAAGTTTCGTAGTGAAATTTTCAGGACTTTTTTTTTAAATTTTTTTATACTTTTTTTGATCATTGAAATATACAATTCAAATTTTTGATAAAGTCTATCAAATAATCAAGTTTTTTTCATGGTTACATGTACTGGATATAAAGGTTTCATATCCTGAAAAAAAAATTTCACTGCCCGGCATTTCTTTAAAGATTATTAATTTTTTACTGCAAGGCTCCACGCCTCATGAGTCGAAGCCGCGCTCGGCTGAATTGGTTTGAATGATTTGTTTTTATTTGAATTCAAAATATGACATCCATTTTAATATTTTTATTAGTAAATATACAGTCGACAAATATTTTACAATTTTTTAATCAATAAAATAAATGAATTAATTAATTAATACAAAATATTTTTATTAGCTATCGCAAGACTTTTCTTTATACACAAAAACAAATATTTTTTTTTGTTCTTAGCGTTTTTTAAATAATATTTATTAAATTTTATAAAATGAGTCTTGTAAATAAATGCTTTAATCCATTAATAATGTTATAATTTATATATTTTTTAAGGACCAAAAAGAAATTAAAATAAGGGGAAAAAATGATGAGTTATTTGACTCATAAGTATACTTATCTGTAGATGTAATTTCATATATGTGATACATAATATATATTATAATAAAATATTATACAGTATTATACTCATGTGTATGCATTAATTAGTATTATTGATGTTATAATTCATATTTTTTTTAAGGTTAAAGAGGACATTGAAACCTCTGAGGTTGATTCGGAATAAACTTTACAACATAACACTTTGTGTTTTATTTCAGTATACTATTGTACCTGAAGTTTAATTATACAAAGTTTATACAAAAGTGCTCTTTTAGTTCCACCCTTACTTCTTAAGAATTCCCATAAGCCAACTGAATGGCTTGTGCCGGTTAGGGGTAGGAACGGACCGCGGGTTTAAAGTCCCCTTCGAAGGACTAATACACAATAGGACAAACACAAATAAACAGCCATACCCCTGGTGGGATTCGAACCCACGACCTCCGGCTTGTAGTCAGCAGCACTAACCACTAGACCACCGTCGGCGTGGATGTCTAAAAAAATATTCTCCAATTGGACATAAATCACATCTTTATTTAACATTTTTCATTTGACTTTATTTACAAATATAACAAAATCTGTTATTTTAAAAAATAACACGTTTTATTTTGTGTTCCAATTTAAAATTAAGTGCAAACAAAATTAAGTATACGCACGAAATTCACCGTAAATACGCACGCGAAGATGCGCCCTCCCCTTGAATTCACCGTAAATGCACAAGTGAAGCTCGAAGTGAGTGCGCATGCATGCTAAAATTCGCGCGAAAAAATTGAAATTATGATGAATGCACATTTTTTGTTCAGAAAACTTATTTTACTATATAGGGGAAAATATGTTTTCTGAACATGCACCCTTATTTCATTTTTTTCGCGCGAATTTAGAACACGCATGCATTTACGGTGAATTTAAGGGACGGACGCATCTTCACGTGTGCATTCACGGTGAATTCATGTGTGCATTAAGGGGCGGACGCATCTTCACGTGTGCATTCACGGTGAATTCAATGGGCGGATATATCTTCACGTGTGCATTCACGGTGAATTCCAGGGGCGGACGCATCTTTTAGCAACCGTGAATTCACGCGTGAAGCAATATTTTTCACCGTGCATTCACGGTGAACTCACGAATGTTATCTGGGAAGGAAGGGTCACAGCGACAAATGTATTTCCCTTCAAAAGGAAATAGGCAATATAATGACTTCGCTTGTATGCTAGACTTCATTTGTCCTATACAATGTTAACCTAAAAGATTGAACGCCACAGCCTCGGCCGTCGGCAAATTTAAGGTCATAATTTGTAGAAGTATTATAAATAATACAGTTTTGTATAACCAGGGAAATACCACTGTATACTCCGGTATATCTTGAATTTAACACAAAAAGTGTAATGCTCAAAATTAATCTACTTACCTTTAATAAATATTAAAAACAAACAAGAAGTTTATGAAATAAAGAAAAATGTTTAAAATTTAAATAAAAAATAAAGGTGTACTATGCAAAATAGGTTTTTATTTTAGTCAAAATATCTTTTAATATCATTAATTTGTTCTACAAGAACCTGCATATACTTTTCCAACTATCATGCTAGGTATAATTTCAGCTGGCTCATTATTAATATGAATATTCCTTATACAGCCTATATAGGGTTTCTTTGTTTGAATACCTCTAATTCGTTTAATAAAACGATGTCCTCCTAAGAATAAGGCACTGCCAGTATCCGTAGAAAGGTCATGACGATCCCCCAATTGTGGCTGAGTAAAAACACTATCCACTGATAATGTTATTACATTTTTGGATTTTACAGCTAAAAACAAATACATTGTAAACTTGACTATTTTAAGGCCTGAAACAAACTTTGTGGGGATTTTACTAGGTATTGGGCGGAGTTTGTAGCCAATATTGCCAACTTCATATATACTATTATTCCATACATAAAATTAACTTAATTAAATAATAATGACAATACAATTCATTACAATTAGAACCAATAAAATGCCAGTATTCCATGGTTACGCATTTTATCACAGCGACAATATTTTTCATCACCTTGTTTACACGTTGCTAAGGATTTTGACACATTTCTTGATTTGACATTTGTTGACATTTAAATACTTTGTTTGTTAAATGATTAAAATAATGAATTATAAACTCTAAAAGATCGATGGGTTGGTGTAAAGGATACTAAAATTAAGGTAAGTTTGAATAAATAAGGTTTATTAAAGTCTTTTTATATTTTAAAGCACATTTTAATTTCAAATGTCAAACTGACAATTCGTTAAATCCTAAAATTCATTATATTTTCTCACTAAATATAACTCGTAGTATGATTAATTATCGATGATATTTACTCATTAAAACCGAAGCAGCACATTCAATTCGAAAATATCATCGATGATAATCATACCACTTGTTATATTATGGGTGATAATAAATTTAATATTGCCAATAGAAATTTAATTTTAGATAACAAAATAATAATAAAATAATATGTAGCATAAAAGTAATATTCATTATATTATTATGAAAAACGGACGTAGATACAGTTTTTGGAATCTTACTTAAAATTAGAACATATATTGTTGAATCACTGACTATAAGTAATTTTTTTTTTCAAGCATTGATTTAATCTCCACTGCACTATCATACTGAACTTCCACCTTGACATTTGAATACAAATAATTAAGGTTATCTATCTGTCAGTTTAACGCCAATTTTGTCTTATTATCTGAAAATAATACAATCTATGTATTTTTTGTATTCTAAAATCTTTATACACAGAAATACATATATTGCATTATTTAAAAAAAATAAGACAAAAATAGGGCCAAACTGACAAATAGATAACCTCAATTATTTAGATTCAAATGTCTTTTGGATTTGCATAGTACTTTTAATGATTTTTTTTGAACCTTTAAATAAATACTAGGTATTTAATTAAAAATGTTATGCCAAAATAATAGAATCGGGATAATAGATTTGGAATAGATTGGATTGGACCATCAACATAGTAATTTTGTATAAATTTTTAAAACTTACCTTGTATACTATGCCAATTTCCATCACATAGATGATATTTGCTAGTTTTAGAGAACGCTTTGAAAGGTTTCTTTCCATTATCGACTGTTGCTTGTAGGACTCCATCAATTAGTTCAATTACAAAATAATCCTTTTTGCCATGGACTGCTAATATTACGCCAGATACATCTCTTGGCTTGATGTCCATTTTTACATCAAACTCAATACCAACCTACAAATATATTTAACATTCATATACACAGTACAAAATAAAAATTAAAAAAATGAGCCTCCAAGTGATTTTTATCACTAGACAGCGCTGGTATTTTAAGAGATGACAGCGATTTAACTAGGCTATCCAAAGGCTCAGCTTTGTAAATATTTGGACCCAAGTTCAGCGTAAATTCACCACCGGCTAGTAATATCTAGATAACCTTTACACATGCGCCTTTTAGTATTGTTTTACTTTTTAAGTGTTTTATTTGACAAGAGGGAAAAATTATGATACCAGTTCTAGGCAGTGTTGCAAATGAACATTTGTTAGATTTCACGGTGAAGTGCTCCAAAACGCACGGTTTTGCACGGTCCCAGGATTCCTGGGCCAGGAATCAAAATGCACAAGTTTTGCACGCAGTATTTTTTATTTGTGTTATAAAAGTACCTACTATTTTTTTAAATTTTTAAGCAGTTTCATAGAAATATTGTTTCTATAATAAATGAGCAGGGGCGTATAATTTTCTACAATTTTTTAATGTGGTGTGATTTGGGTGTAAGTTTAGATAAATCAATACTATCACTGTTCAACCATTATGGTACTACGGTAGTACTACTACCTATACCTATATACTACTACCTATACCTATTTAGGTACGTAGATGTATACCTATTAACATTTAATGTTGCCCTCTTCTCTACTAGACTCTAGTGACTAGTGTCTTAGGCGCATGCTCAGTGAGCCTGCGTAGAAGGATTCTACCCAGTAAGCATTGCTCACGCCATCTTTTTTGTGACTTACGCACTATAAATACCGGCAAATTTAAATTGTACTGCTGACCCCGCCCACAATGTCAAGTTGCCAAGTTTCCAATTGCATTTTCTTTTTTATTTTAATTTTAATGTTGCCAAGTTTCTAATTGTATTTTAGATATTTTTTTAAATGTTTTAATGGCGTATGTTCAAAACGCACGCAAAAGGCACGGTTTCTCACGATGTTCGCAAAATGCACGGTCAGGCATGAAAACGCACGCAAACCGTGCAATTGCACGGTCATTGGCAACACTGGTTCTAGGCAAGGAATTGACTGCGTAAAAAGAAACTTTAAACTGTCAAAATAATAAAATTTATATATCTGTCAAATTTGCGTGGAACTATTTGATATTTACGAAGTATTGTTGTGATGTTGCATTTCTGTTGGTTCCCGGACAACAATAGCGATTTCCTGGTTAACTCATGATGATATTATGCGTGATTTTTTTATGAGCTCATGCTTTATTACACGAACTATGAATTTAAAACTTAGTTATTTAGTTTAATTTAATAAAATGATGAAGAAAAGCCAATATTTCGAATAAGTAGTTTTATTTTATTACTTCTCTTATAATAAGCAGTTATAACCTAATAATTATTTTTCGTGGTCCTGTCCTCAACAATTACTTAATTCACCATGTAGTACTACATGGTGTACTACATGGTGAATTAGGCAATTGTTTTCAGACAGGACCACTCAAATAATTAAGATCGATCTTCCTTATAGGTAAGTCGACCATTTTTTCAATAATAAGGGCAACACTGGTTATACACTTTCTGTCTGTAAGCAAACCGCGATTTTTGACCTTATGAACCAACTATTACATTAATGTATGATGCGGACGCTTTAAAGCTATAAAAAATCCCGGAGGTGCTATAAATAAATTTTAATTTTTTTATACCTAATTAAAATTATAAACAAATTTATTTTTTTTGAATTTCAGCATGTTTTTTAGTTTTCAAAATGTATATATACTAACAACTACTAGTTTCCCTAGCTCTTTGAACGGCATTCAAAAAGTCCTAAGGGCGCGGATGAATTTGGTTAGGAAAACGATTGGCGTACAATCGCTATGTAAACGCGCTAGGCCCTAGTCAAAGAAGGGGAAAAGGGGGTTTGAACCGCCCCGAAATTAAAAAAAATTAAATTTAAGAACAGTGTTTAAACAAAACATAATCTGTATTCTGCCGTGCTAAGCTAATCCTCCGTATGTGCAATATTAAGTAATAAAGGTCCTCTATAGTTTATTTTTGTTATATTGCTAAAATCTTTGCTGAACAGTTTTAAAAAGTTTTAAATAATAAATAAACAGGGTGTTATGTAATTAATGTTATATATTAAAATGGGTTGTTCCTTAGGGTCCATAAAGAAGCACCTGAAACTTTTTTTCTTCTTAATTCCAAAGACTAAAAATAATTTATAATAACCTTTATCCTACCAAAAAGTACGCCACTGATCGACTAGGAACTTTAGGCTAATCTGGTTGCCTAATTTAATTTATTATGTTATGGTTGGTAACAACAGCGTTTCCAAATTCTGTGAAAAAGGTTGCCAACCCAGATAGCACAAAGAAGTACTAAAAACGTCCTGAGTATATCTTGTATCAGACATTAGTAAGTTCCGAGTACGTCCGAATCAGGTCCTGAACCTTCCCCAGGACGTTCCAGGGACATCCGATGTTACCAAATCGTCGGTCCCCAGAACGTCCTAAGTAAGACATCCTCTGGCCATCCTGAAATGCTTTATTGGGGACTAATGGATCGTTGCTTATTTTGACATGTCAAGTTTATTTTATTAATTTGTTAAATGGATTTTATTAAAATCATTTAAATAATTTGCTCGTACTCGCTTATTTTAGGAATTGCGATTACTTCGTCTCACTTTTGTTTAAATTTAAGCGTGCTCTTCACCGGCACCGATAGATGGCCTGTTTCCCTCTTTTGGAGTTCGTCAGTATCGGGTAGCCGTTTACCTAGGTCTAAGACCGTTTGGTATGGAGCACGCCACAGATTATACGCTCTAAATTCTACTTCGCCGCTTCTTATATCAAACACAAGCAGTTACAGCGGTGAGAAGAAAGAATCGCATTAAAATGTCATAAATGTGACGTTTCCATGTTGACGTCTTAAAGAGTTAATAATATAATTTCAGTAAGAAGTAAGAAAAGAGAATACTGTAAGATATCATATAACTAAAGTCTTATTTATGATACCTACCCTTAGTAGCTTCTAATTTTGATTCCAATAAGAGGTCAGAAAAAAAGATACTTTAAGATGTTAAAAAATTTACTTCTTATTTATGAATTCATCAAGAACTCTTAATCTTGAGCTCCTAAAAATGATTTCTCTAAGATGTCATATTTTGACCTCAGTAAGATGTTTTTCAACAGACTTCGTACAGAAATCTTTCTGAATTGGATGCTGTCTGGGGGGTCTAAGTTACAAAAATAAAATTGTGATTTATCAATGAAAAACAAATATTTTGCACATGTAAATGTTGAAATGTCTGAAACACGTTTGGAATTGCATATTCCGCTCTCCTGAAACCGTCAAACTCGCCTTCGGCTCGTGTGACAAACTCTTCACTCGAGCGGATATGCTGTATTCCAAACTTGTTACAGAATATACTATTAAGTCATTCTGCATGACACAAACTATTTTTAAATAATATATTATTTAACCAACTTGGCACTTAGACCCTTTGGAAAAACAATGCTTCAATTACGCCCTTGGGACGTACCCAGTATATCCACTATAATTTTCCCAAATAAGTAAGAGACTGGACGTACCCAAAACTTCCGATATAGGTCTAGGACGTTCGGACCTATGTGGGACCCGAAATGGACGTCCTGGGTACCTCTTGTGTTATCTGGGAAGCATTGTTTAAATTTGGCTTAATTACAAAAATGACAAAATCAACAATGCAAATTGTCAATTTGGCGTTTTTATTAATTGTTGGTTATGTCATTTTTGTACTGAAGGTAAATTCAAACAAAATCTGACAACTTTTATGACAGAATTTAGTGCATTTCTTTCAAATTTTAGGTTATGTGCTCAAATTGTAAATATCTTAACTATGGGAAGTGCTTTTGGATTTATTTACACAAATTAAATATTTAGAGTTTAACCTGTGAACTGGTCCCAATTTCATCTGAGTAAACAGAAAGAAAAAAATCGTGGAAAAAATTATTTTTGTGGTTATGGATTTTTTAAAATAGGTACTAAATTTTCTAATCATTGCTTAAGCTAATAGCTGGATGAGTAAATAAATACAGAAGGGTATTAGAGCTTTAAGGGCATAAAACTTTTATATTTATTGAGTTTTTATTTATTTTTTGCAAGACAAATTTTTAGTAACAATTTTTTATATCTGGCAACGCGCAGCTACTTTGTGGGTTGGTATCTATGTACTCACAGAACACAAGTGTGCAGTGATAAACCAGTGGCGTTTCACAAAAAATATAAAAAACTTCTAATGCATATTTTTTCTTTATCTTTGGAAAATATTTTTTTAAATATTTTTCCTTTACTCCTTATGTCAAAAGGTATTCAGTATTTTAATTACATAACACCCTGTATAAACAATATGCCTGCTTTAGACCCACAGACCTTCTCATAGAGATCGCGAGAGACCCATAACACCAAAAAAAAATTGTAAAAGCAATTGAATTTCTGAAAGTTCACTCAAGTCCTGGGGAGGACCGAATCCCGGCCATTTTCTTGGCCAAAAATACGATGAATAGAATATTTCAAGAGGGAAAATTGCCAGGTAAATGGAAAGCAAGCTATAAAAAAGAAGATACAAAATTTGTATTACAAATTACCATCGATATATAGGCCAAGCAGCCTAACTAGCACAATTTGCAATGGAAAAGATGATACCTTAGGTTTAAGTCCTAGGCCCACTGCTGTTTTTAGTTTTCATTGGCAAGCTGCTCAAAAAACCAACTACGCAAAAGACATCAAAGAACTAGGAATGGTTTAAAGAAATACAACAAAACTACCGGCTGAAGTCAGACACCTGCCCTACGAAACAAGGCGCGAACGCCTACACCTCCCTACCCTTTTAGAAAGGAGATTACGGGGCCACTTAATAGAAACATTCAAAATACTAAAAGGTTATTACAAATGCAATATTCAAATTTATTATCTTTCTAATAACCATCAGCTTAAAAGTCCCAAATACCAACACAATACCTTTATAAT